AGGATTTCAAAACTTTTATGCTATAGCAAGAAAGAGAATGAAATGATATTATATTTGTCAACTTTGATTCAGTGCCTAAAATACGAAAAGATCACTTTAAGTTCATATATGGTAATAAGGGCTCACTTCTATCACACAAATGTTTTAATCTTTCTTTACACTATATTAAAAACATACTATTTAAAAATTAAATAGGCGATATTGAAGAAAGAAGTAGAAAATGATAAACAGGTGTTAATTGATGCTAAACAGATAGATGAGTTAGCTATTAACTTCCCATTCAGGCGAAAAGTTACTGCTAAACAAAAAAAATCCCAAATGAATAAAAGTAATTCAAACATTGACTGCCATGCCTGAAACAAAGTGTGTGTCAACATGATGTATTTCAACGTCATTTTGTTTATTATACCAAGGCCAAAATTTTTTTTTTATGTCTAACAGAAAATAAATTTTCCAGTTGAAATTTAAAACCACATTTAGGTTTCAAACTCCAAAAAAATTAGTTTTTAATTTCATTGGAAATGGAAAACATACTGAAACTCAAAAATTCCATCTTTTTATGTATTAAAAATGAAAATGCAATCACCGAAGCGTTAAAACTTCAGTTGAAATTTTTTGCTCTAAAGTTGAAGTTTTAAACAGAGAATAACTCAAGAGATGAAATATTGAAGTGGAAATCCTGAAGTCTTATTTGCTATCTTATTTCCACTTTAAAACGCAAGTGAAAATGCAATCCTTCGTATATAGTAAGAAATTTTATATATGCAGGAAAGCCATGTAGAATTGTTTTTGATAATATCGAAATAATATGAGGAAAATTTTGACAAACTTGAATTGTTATCATTAGATAAACTCATTCCTTCCATATCATTTTAAAACCTGAATAAAGATTCTTTTACAGTCCATGCAAAAGATATGCATTTATTTACAGCAAATGACAACTTTCTAGTTTACCAATTTCATTGTTTCCCCTGTAGCTGAAGAACTGAAGAAATTTTTTCTTTTCAATTTTATTTTTTATATTTTCATTTCAACTATCACTTATAAAAGTGGTGCAGCTAAAAGATACACTAGAATGCTCAAATGTCGTAGCAATCAGAAATTTTTATACATTTTTCAAAAGTAATGAATGAAGATAAAGAATGAATGAATAAATAAATGAGATTTTCCTTTGATAACTGGCAGAATAACTAAAGCAAAATTCTCGAACGAAAGCATTGTGAGTGTTCAGTGCAATTTTGGAAAATTATATGCATTTGCAATGAAGAAATATCGATGTGAGATGCAAAATACATCATTGTGATCGAATAAAAATTTCAAAAGCCTCTGAAAGATTTGATTTATTTAGATATAAGAGATGAAATTAGCATGATTTATGTTGTTAGTTTTGGAGAAAGTCCATAAAAAATTTTTAATTTTTCTAGTTAGGAGAATTCAATCTAATTTAAAATACTTTGGGTATAAAAAAAGGACGAGAAAGAAAAAATGTTTGAAATATTGTACAAATTAGATATGAATTAATTACAGATATTGGTCTAATCTACTTTACAAAAAATTAAAATCTCCAGCAATATTTTAGCATGGGTTGCTCAGACTTTTTTGAAATGCTTTTTTTTTTTCAGAATGAACTTAATAGAACTTATTTTTTGGAACTCTAATGGGAAAAAATTTTTTGTTTATGGATTTCTTAAGAAGAATATGCTGATAGACAAGTTTTATAAGTTTATATTTGAATAATCCTACAAAAGTTGGTATGGGCACTTGTCGAGTAAAGTAAATTAGATTAATAACAGAAAACTTCAAGGCGGCGAGTAAAGTGAAAAATATACCAATCAGTCAAAATTTGATTCAGCTAGAATGGCAGTTCGATAATCTAAAAAAATTTACATAAAGCTTAATGCACAATATCTATCCAAATTATTCTGAAGAATGACAATACCATTAACAAATTATAATTAGTACAAAAAGTTTTGATTAGCAATGCTTCCGCCCTTCACATCATCATTACCTTTAGTACTCGAAGTGATGATAACTCCAGGTAGTATCTGCTTGATGACTTTAGTCCGTTAGGAAATAGAAAGAATAACAAACATTCGACAAGCATATGAGAAATAGAAGCGAATTTCAGTAAAGTATTTGCATGGGAATTTCCGAAAGGATAAAACGGATGTAGAAAAAATTGAGATTCAACAGGAGAGGTTCGCTTTTCCTCAAAAATGATGTTAAAATCATAAATAACCGATTAGTAGGAATGTATTGTGTTTTCATGTCCATTCAAATTCTTTCGAGTACGAAAAAAAAGTTGTAAAATTTAATTCAAAGATAAAATTTAGGATTTTCTAATGACCCCCATCGAATAAATTATTGCTTATGGGAATGAAAACATAAAATAATGAAAGTAATTTTCTTTCTATTATCTGAATTATAAAAACGTTATAGGATAACAATCACGTAACTTGTTAAGGCGTGAGTGGGGAACAAAAGATAATGAAAGATAACTAAGTTGGAAAAATAAAAGTATTTTCTTTAATTTTAAGTCTGCTAATTAATTGTCATCTAATAAATGTTTATTTTTTATCAAATTATAAATAGTATATTGTTTCTTTAATCATGTTTATATTATTAATAATTTTCGGAAAAATACTAAAGATTTTTCAATGAAAACATGATGGAAACTAGTTTATCTTGATAAGATAATTGATTTCTTTCGTCTAATAACACCATCAGTAAAACAGTAAGTAAATAAAACGCGAATCTAAAAAGAAGTATGATTTGTCTTATAAATTTTACAATTCATCATCTATAATTTCTAATCGTGCAAATCAATTAAATTACTTCCTATACTAATCTAAAAAATTGCGTAATGAGATATATCCAAATCCTCTGAAAATATTCACTAAATGATATCCCACAATTTTTTCAACCTACCTTATAATGATAGCAGTGATGCAGTAGATTTTATGTCGATAATCATAGAATCCCCAATAATTAAGTAGTTTCATCACAATGTTCGCGGGGAAATTTAAGTCAATAAAATGATTGCTAAACAATGGAAATATGGCGGATGATATTGACCTATCAATGGTTGCGCTAATTTCCCACTGTCACGTTCGATGGATGCTGTTATATGCTATAAAGTTAATGAACTTTATGCGAATGCGCAAACACGAATATATTTGAGAATATCTAACAAAAAGTCTTCTGGCAGTCTTATAATTGTCTCAGCTTTGTTAAAGTGCCCTCCTGATGCTAATGCACATGCATAGCTCTGATCATCATCAAATCAGAAACAGTTCTTATCATTCATGCAATACATCTGTTAGGTATGCCACTCGCCGTTTTAACCACGTGACTCCAGCTTGAACACAATCCTTTAACACTACTAATCCACTTCATATCATATTGCAATGAGATGTTGAACTAAAGTAACAGTGGTAACAGTTTCAAACTATTTATTCGTAAAATTATTCAATTTAACAGTCTTCTGTAGTCAAAGTAGGAAGTAGAAAAAATCAAAGCAGGAAAAATATGAAAAGGTAAAAAACGACCAAATTTAGAATTGATATAGCAGTATGAAGTGTTAGAAGGATACTGAAACCAGCTTATTTGATCGAGTATTTTGCTAGTCTTCATTCATTACACTTATTAATTAGTTATTATTTCACACCAAATTTCAATAATGTTATTTAATAAGTATTTCCATACTTCAGTATTTCCTTTTTCTCTCTTCTCCATACAAATATCACTTCATTTCCTTGAATATAAGAAATATTGGAAAAACAAAAGAATTCATTGACACATACATAGAAAACAGGTTAAGCTATTATGTGCTAACACATCTTCAGAAGAATTTTCCTATCGTTATAGAAAAACAAAATTGTATGAGTATGAATGAGCTTTAAAAATAATGCGCTATTTTCTAAATGTCTTTCCTAAAATATACTCCTAACAAATGTCTATGAGACAATAATCATTTTCGTAGCTCATAAAGTGAAATAACGACCGGCAGTAAATTGTCCATTTCATTGCAATTTTTTCTAAAATGAAAAATTTTCTCGGGAGTTTCACTAGCATGGTGTAAAATAACAATCAAAAACCTCAAATAGGTTTTATTTCATTTAAACGATTAAAATTTATCTAAAAAAACTTCACAAGAATTGAATATTGATTATTCGCTTTATCCTTAACCAAATGATGGATGGTGACAGAAAAAACCTGATTACGATATTAATCATTCTGATAAATTACTAGTCATTTAGCCTCACATGCATTTCAACGGCCGTTTACGATTGTAAAATTAATTCCCTAACAACAAGACGCAATATTCCTTCTTACTTTTCGTTAACTTCTATTACAATTTTTTTGCAAGATATAAAGCTAAACAAAAATTTAAATTCAAAAAGAGACATGGTAAACGCAGAAATTAAAAATGGCATTATAATTTATTGAGAAATTAAGTATGAAATAAAAGAAATTTCCGGATACGAATAAGAAAGAATAACATACAATTTAAAATAAAAGAGTTAATGTTGAATACAGAAAATGAATAAGATACAGTTATAAAGTATTTAAAATTTCTTTAGAAAAGGGAGAATTTTTGTTGATGGAACAATAATTTTAGATTGAACAATTGAGGGAAAAGGATTAACTTAGGATAAAGTATAAAATCAACAAAATAGCTTATAGTTGAAGGAAAATTTTTGTGTGATTTTTGGGAGGAAATCGCTATAATGTTTCTAATAAATGTTGAAGGAAACATCCGATGAACAAAAGAAATGAGAAAGTGTATATATAAAGAGATATAAGCTTATTTGGATAAGCATAGCAAGTTGTAGTAATAGAATCAGACTCACTCATATTTCCCGAGGAAAATACTAGAGTCTCGTGTTCTTCGCTCTCGAAAAAGAAGAGAGCGACAATCGACCATACACTTAACGTCCTCCAATATTTGCTTCAGTTTGTTTCAACACTTTGCCTTATTATTAATTATTCATCTCAGCTTATCCAATAACTGAAGTTGAAAAATGTCAGTTGAAATTATTTTTGAAAAAAAAAATATTTAATTCCAGCAAAGAAATATTTCTCACTGAATCGATCTAATGTTATTAGGCAAAGGCTTCACCGGTAATTCCAATCGTTCTGTCGCGAAATGTCGGTAATGATAGTGAGAAATTGTCGCAAAGAAGTCCTAACCGGTCATCTTCTACAAGTTTACCTGTTACTTTCATACTGCATGCAGTTAGGCGCTCTGGGAGGTTTGCAATCGCTTTCTGTCTTTGTCCTAAGACTTTTCTCGAGAGTAGCACTACCTTAAAGAACCTAAATGTATGGGGCAATATGCGGTCGCTCGTAAACGAAGTTTATTATCATAGGCGCTGCTGTGGGAAGGAAAGGGTTGGCTAAGTTTACTTTTGCTTGCATAGTTACATTTTCCTGTTATCATTCACTTTGATGAATCGCAGGTGTGGTGATAAGAGTGGCAAACGACGTTATGTTATCGACCGTACAACTTTACCTTTTCAGTTATAATGCTTTGCAGAGTTGTGGGTAAGTTTTACTACAAAACTTGTTTATTTATTGTGCACTTTCTTTAGCTACCAAATTATATTTCTGACGAAAAAATTAGCATAATGCAAAGAAGTTCGACGGTATTTAATGGTTTTTTCTTTAATTTTAGACAAAAGTGACATACTTTTGGGAAAGAAATAAGTGGAACCGGGAAATTTAGGTTATAGATTAGTGTTAGTTTGGTAATTAATGGTAATAGATTAGAGAAAAAACCATATTTCGTTGTCATAGACAAAGACAAGCAAAATTAATAAGGAATAAGGAGAGTAAGAGAAGATACTGTGATCTAGTTGGCGTCAAGGATCGATAAGAAAATGATATGATGGGCCAAAGTTACATTTTATGGTGTTACTCCTTTGGGAATTCAAAAAGTGTAGACAACTGTTCAGTTCTTGTTCTTATACATATTATTTCTGGACAATATTCCGCAAATTTGTTTGAGAAACTTATATGTTTCGGATTAATACAGATAAAGAAAAAAATGTTTGTTTCAATTTGGTCATTAAAGTCGATGCGGTCATATCTTCACTTCTGCCATTTTCCGAATGACCTAGTTTTGCAAATTTCCTATATTTCTGAAAGAAATCACAATTGGTTTTTGAATATCTTAGGTGGAGCGTAATTTTGTGGTATACACTTCGTGGTTTGTTACGGAATGAAAGCTATGAGCAGTTATATCAGGCGTGTGAGTTAGAGCTACAAATCTTTCAGTCAGCTGCAATACTTGAGGTTTGTTTATCATAAGTTGGTGTCGAGCTCCCAATCTTAATTTATTACGAAATAAAAATTCTAATTTTGAGACTCATGGAAAAGTAGTGAAAGTTAAAGTTCAAAATCCAACGAGTCATATCTTACTCTGACTATAGATTTCATTCTATAATTTAATGTATATATGGCTGCTCAGATACCAAGTCTCAAATTTACTTTTGGAAGCAGTGACATGTTCATGAGAAATATAGCTTACTTTCGTTTAGTTAAAGCAGAAAAAATTATTTTAGAGACAATATTATGTAATAAGAAGTCGTATTATTTTAGAAATTCCCTTTTACGGTTGTTTTAGCTGTACACATATATTTACCAGTATATTCATGTAATAAATCAAAGGAATTAATTTATAAATTAGTGCAAAGTTGATGAGCAAATAATACCAAATAGTTAAATTCAGATTGTTCATGCTGCTGCTTGTTTTGTTCGATCACCTGTCGGAACGACAACAATGCAAGTGTTCTCACGTGTTTCGCTTGTGTTTATTTTGTACAAGGTTGTATCGGTAAGATTGTAAATTTCTATGCTTCTTTTTACTTTCAAAAAATTAAAAGGCTATTATCTTCCAAAAATATTAAAACATTCTATACATTCTGTAATACAAGGATTTTATAAAACTTGACAATGTGCACAAGCTTGAAGTTTTTTTTTTCTCTCTTTTACATTGTACTTCAATGGACTAGCCTGAAGTTTTGATATATGAAAGTTTTTTAAAAAGATTTATGAATTTTGCAAATTAGATGAGAGTTTTGTTAAGTTCATCATCTATTCCATTTTTACTAAATGAAGTTTTAAAGATTTTCAAGTATTCCGCATTAATCTAGCGAACTATGCTTGCTTTCAACTTTTTGCTCATTTTTAGGCACAAGCAAGTATCGGTGTACTTTTTTTGCTGACAGCATGGTCAGTGACCGAAGTAATACGTTACAGCTACTATGGACTCGCTTTAATTAATGCTGTATCAGATATTCATACGTGGTTAAGGCAAGTCTTGTCATACAGCATGTGACATACTGAAAATTGAAATTTTAGTGCAAATTTTGTTTGATCAACTTCTTTTACCTTTGCATTTTTCATTTTTTAATTTTTGTGTATATATGTATCCTGATTTCATGCGCATCATAGGGTGGAAAATTTTGCGTAGATTTCAGTCGTGCACGGAAAAGTTTGTGACTCTGTTTAATGTTTTCAGATACTCTCTTTTTATTATATTGTATCCTCTGGGTGTATGCGGTGAGCTTCTAGTAATCCTGGCTGCTCTTCCTGAGGTTTTTTTTTTTTTTTTTTTTGAATTATATGATTCAATCAGGCATGTAAGTGATTTTCATATTATTGGTTTACTTAGTTTATTTAATCCAGCAATATCTTATAGATTGCTACAAAAAAACATCTCACTGTGGAATTGCCAAATATATGTAATATTGGCTTCTCTTTCTGGTGGTATCTTATCGCTTATATTATTCTATATATACCAGGTCTGGTCCTCATTGGATTTAGAATTCTTCGATTTTTCATGTTTTATTCATTATTTATTTATTTATTATTATTATTTTTTTGAAGTATACTTGCAACAGCAACCACACACAATCAAACTAACCATTGTTTATTCGTTTTTTGTCTGATATTTTTCTTAATTGGTTCTTTACGTCATTGCAGAGCTGCATAACGAAATATGAAAAGGGCATAAATTTGAAATAAATGCAACGAGTATAGGAGCTGTTCTAGTCCTTTTTCCTATGTCGTATTTTGAGGGATAATTTTATTTGGTCATATAATGGTTTTATTAAGTTAATCATCTGGTTTTATAATTTGAAGTTGTGTTTATTGAGAGATTAGTTTATGAATGCTTATGAAATCCGTATTTGCACTACAGGGTCAATGTTGTGTTCTTTAAGGTCAACATTCTGTTTTCGAATAAAATTGTTAGATATAAAATATAAGTTTGCTTAAATTGGAAAGTTACAATTAGCTCATGATAGAACAAGGAATTAATTAGGAATTAATTATTGATTTTTCAGGGTTTCCGCAAATGTACCTCTATATGCTTAAGCAGCGAAAAAAAGTTCTTTCAATGGAAGCCAACAAAAAGTACAGTTAACTTTACTGTCAATTTTTGTGATTTTTTGTATGTGAACCGTAGAATGGAATATGACATATTTATCAGTTCATCAGGTTTTATTCTTGTTGTTACTTCAGCTTTCTCACTGCTTTTATTAAATTATCATTGTGCTTAAACAACGTTGTCTGTTTGTGGCAAAGCATTTTGTTTGTATCATCTTATATAGATGGATTTAAATCATCCATCTACATTATTGCCTGATTCATGATCAATGTTGCAGTATTCTGTGATTTTGTTTCAAAGGTTTTAAAAACCAGATTTTGAAAGTTTTTCCTATAATGTATCAAGAATTATGGTTTCAGTAACGGATTCATCATTGAAAAATAAAATCTTTGAAAGGAAGTCTGAAAGTGACAGTAATCCTATATTTCATCATTTTGCATATGGAAGCTGGACTTTTTTTGACTCGAATCACATCTTGTTGAATTTTGAATTAGATCAAGTTTCAAAATACGAATATAACAGATTCTGACGACATTATTGAAAAATTGTAAAGAACTAGTTCTCATTGTATACACCTTGGTGTGAAAAGAAACTCATCTGATTTTCGAAAATTAGTACAGTGTCTGTTTCATGTTTTTCATGAAATGTATTGCTTCAGTTTTTATAAAATTATAAAATTCAGGTTTAATAAATGGGTGTTAACAAGTATCCAAATTGCTGAAGATTGTGTGAAGGAAGTGGTTTGTGTAGATAGGTCTATGGATGCAATATAGGAAGTTTGGGAGATTGTCCGATTCAAATTGGTTAAGGAAAGGCAGGTGACCAGTTTTGCAAAACCTCCCAAATATATTGAAACTTCAGTTTATCATTCATGTAAATCTATTTTTCCGTCTTTTTTTTAAATCTGAAAGTGTTCATGAAAATTCAATTTTCGAAGTTTCCACTATTCAGGTTATGCTAGAAGAAAGTGCAGCTTTTAACTCTGCTGAAATTGTACTGAACTATCAATATTAAATTTTGAAGATGGTTAGATGTTGGGGTACTTGTTACGCCACAAGATGGATTTCAGAATTATTCATCAGTTGGATTTTGTTGAAGCTAATTAAACCAAATTGAAAAGATATTAAGCTGAATTGAATTCATTTAAATCACTCTAGGTGTGATTAAATTATAGTCAAAATAAGTTGGAGATTTGTTGAATTGGAATGGATGTTGCAAAATTCAAAATTAAGCAATAATTTCATGTAATTACGGAAAGGCTATTATTTAAAAATGTCTTTATAAATAAGACATAGTCTAAAGAAGGAATAAACGAACTGAAATGATTAATGAGATTCATCGTTCTCTTTTCTTGTCATAATTTATTGAATCAATGAATCAGTCATTTAGTCATTCAGTCAAAATAATCACGTATGTCGTTAATTTTAGGTACTTTTTTTCTCATTACAACCCATCTCCATTTTCTTTCACATTTTTATTCTAATAACTTCCTTACAATTTTATTCTTGCACAGAAAAAAGAATTTTTGCTAGAAACTGCTAATTTTTTTAAATTATTATATTATGAAAACTTTATTAGAAATAGTTTAACTTCCAAATTTCATTTCACAATGTCCTACCAATTATTTATCTGTTTAAGAATACACCATCTGCACAGAATGAATTATTAACAGTTACAAATTTTTATAGAATGTTCTTATTCAAATGTGTGACGAAACATTGTCTTAAAGATGTGTAATTTCATTTTATTGCATATTTCAGCAAACAATTTTGTTCCATTCGGAAAGCAAAGTTTATATTTAAGTGCAGTGAAATTCTATTGCTCATAAATTAATCGTAAGAGCAATTCATCTTTATCTATTAATATTTCACATATAACTATATCCATTCCAATGACTAAAATTCCCAATGATCAAATTATACGAAAGGAATTCGTTAAATTCTTTTTCAAATTCAATTTGATTCATTTTTTATTCTTTCAGAGAAAAAAGGCAACGGTACATAATGTCCAACCAGTACAAAGTAAA